CTCGATGTTGGCAAACTCGCAGTGGGAAACACTGCTAAATTAAAACCCATTAAGGACAGGTGACCCTTCTAACTAGCACCTACAAATGTGACCACCCTAATGTTCCTGCAGAACACTCAAAAGCTCATGCTAAAAAAAACTGTTGCAAAACTAAAAGGAAAAGGCATATTTCCAACATGGAGGGTGTAGCAGTGGACAACTTAACAGACTTTGCCCTGGCCTCGGAGGCCACAGCTGTTCGCATTAAAGGAGGCCAGCACCAAGGCCATACAGACATTTTCTCCCCAGAGCAGGCTCCTTCCATGGAATTCGAGCAGCAGCCCTTACTGCCAGAGCCCACATCGCCGGCCAAGCCCAGCTCCCAGCAGCAGCCCCCAGAGGAGGGCCACAATCACAGCGATGCCACAGAGTCGGCGTACAGCGGGGACGACATGGAGGCGCCCGCTCACATGGGGGGACCCGCTTACATGAGGGGGCTGAGGCGGTCCTCGTCTTTGTCTACTCACAGTGGAGAGGAAACTGACAGGGTGGAGAGGAGGCACTTCATGAAGGCTTATGTGGAGAAGGTGTTTCATGGAAAGTAAGGAAGATTTATTTTATATGAGAACTCTATGTTAACTTAAAGAATTACTTAATCTTCTCAAAGCGACCTGATTAAGATAAGATGTACTTTATTGGTCCCAAATTGGGAAATGTTTTCATTACAGCAGCATACAAACCAAGGCATGCACATAATTAGAAATTAAAGTATTAAGTATAAGTATTAGAGTAGAAAATAAACAATTATAAAATATAATCATCTCAAAATAGAAAATAAAACATAACTAAAAAGTAGAAGATATACAAGTTGACCGAGAATATAAAAATCTGTAAACTATCTGACAAATAAAACATAACATTGAAGGGCCAATTTACGACTAATACAATATAAAAGTAGGATATTACTTGCCTTAAGTGTGCAATGAATGGCATATGAAATACAAAATAAGCGTGAAATGTACAGTGTGAAGTCCAGATAACTAAAGAGAAGCTAGGTGTTGGACAGGGCAGAGATGGAGTACTCGAGTCCTGGACTCGGACTCGAGTGCCGATTTTTGGGACTCGTGACTCGTCTCGGACTNGCACTGATTGACGCGACTCAGACTTGGACTCGTGAATTCTCGCACACGATGACTTGGACTCGACTTGTACATTGCATAGACTGTATGGTACATTAACGCTCCGACTTGGACTCGGACTCGAGCAAGTTTTCTCTGGAGTCTAATGTCCTCTATCCTGGCGTGTGCACCTGTGAGGCGAGTTCACTACTGGGCCCCGCTATTCCAGTCTAAAGATGTCTAGACACTAGAGATGTTAAGATTCACCGATTCGCATCGGTGCACCGGCATAAACGTTCAAGATGCGAGTGCACCGGTTGAAAACTCTTTCAACCGGTGCACTCGCATCTTGAACGTTTATGCCGGTGCACCGATGCGAATCGGTGAATCTTAACATCTCTAGTGTCTAGACATCTTTAGACTGGAANACCAAGTTGAGTTGTTTGGAAGAAACACACAACGCTATGTGTGGAGAAAAAAAGGCACAGCACACCAACATCAAAACCTCATCCCAACTGTGAAGTATGGTGGAGGGAGCATCATGGTTTGGGGCTGCTTTGCTGCCTCAGGGCCTGGACAGATTGCCATCATCGACGGAAAAATGAATTCTCAAGTTTATCAAGACATTTTGCTGGAGAACTTAAGGCCATCTGTCCACCAATTGAAGCTCAACAGAAGATGGGTAATGCAACAGGACAACGACCCAGACAGATTCAACAGAAGAAAATACGCCTTCTGGAGTGGCCCAGTCAGAGTCCTGACCTTAACCCAATTGAGATGCTGTGGCATGACCTCAAGAGAGCGATTCACACCAGACATCCCAAAAATATTGCTGAACTGATACAGTTTTGTAAAGAGGAATGGTCCAATCTCCTGACCGTTGTGCAGGTCTGATATGCAACTATAGGAAACGTTTGGTTGAGGTTATTGCTGCCAAAGGAGGGTCAACCAGTTATTAAATCCAAGGGTTCACATACTTTTTCCACCCTGCACTGTGATTGTTTACATGGTGTGTTCAATAAAAACATAAAAACATATTGTTTGTGTGGTTTTAGCTTAAGCAGACTGTGTTTGTCTATTGTTGTGACTTAGATGAAGATCAGAACACATTTTATGACAATTTATGCAGAAATTCAGGTAGTTCCAAAGGGTTCACATACTTTTTCTTGCAACTGTACATCCTCTAACATATATTTGAATAACTACAAGTGGACAAGGGTATGTTGAGAGTATTAATTTGATTTGTGAGTCGATTGAGAAACAAATGAGGTGAAACCGTTTGTCCCAAAGCCTCTCTCACCCCTCAGCTAAGGATCACTGATGGAGCTGCAGTCCAGAGCTGCATCCATATAAATGTGAGGCTTCAGTTGCCATAGTGATGCAGGATTATTTTATAGATCCATGTACTACCTTCAACAACAGTTGACATGCTCTGTGCTAATGTGGTTTCACACACACACACACACACACACACACACACACACACACACACACACACACACACACACACACACACACACTCACTCACTCACTCACTCACTCACTCACTCAGACTTTGAACCCATCACCCTCTGTTATGATTGTGACTTGTTGTTGAATTGAAGGCACTTTAGTGGCTGTATGTAGTCCAAAATAATCTGTGAGGTTGAAACGAAGAATAAAAACGATTCTTAAAAAAAAGAAAGTTCTTTATATGATTGCAACTATGGAAAGAGATCACTCCCTGGCTCACCCTCTCTCTCTCAAAATGGCTCTGCTCACAGTATTATATTATTATGGGTTTTATATACAGTTTTTATTGCTAACAAATACGCATGAGCATTTTTCATCCTAGTTTGTCTACGTGGAGCCGATTTGAGTGACTTAAATCAAATACAAGGTGGATTAGTAGTTGCCTAAAGTATTGCATCATATCAGATATACCTTACGTTTGTTCTTTATGTAAAAAGTAGTTGTGAGTGTTAGATAACTGTAGTAGAGTGAAAACTATAAAATGGGCCTCTGAATTGTGGTATAAAGTAGCATTTAATCAGAATCAAGTTTATTGACGTACCTGGCAATACACTTCATTCTGAGTCTGATATAATTAAGTAAAGTACAATTATTTCCAAATATGACTTCAATAAGGTACTAAATGTACTAGTTACATTCCTTCATTGACTATCATATAGCAGTGTACACAGCATTATACAGTGTTATGTAAACTCATATTTTGTGAATGCAAACACACATGTTTCTGTATGGACGTATCTTCCGAGGTGTATGTTTGCCTTTTCTTTATCATTGCTCCTTCTCAGACTACCCATGGATCCATGGCTGAGAACATCACGTCCCCCGCTGAGCCGATCTGAGCTGCCAGAGGAGCTGTACAAATCAGTTCTGGCTATTTATAACATCTTGACATTGAGAATGTGGGCTGATCTGGATCCAGCCGCTGCGAATGAGGCCCAAGAGGTGGCTGTCTGTGGCAAACTGATAAAATGAAGCAGCTCTGCCAGCTCCCTCCGGATTACACTCCGTATTAGAAACCGTATCGTACCTTCTGTCCCGTTCGGATTGGACACAGCACACATCAAACCTTCGAATGCATTAATTTGATTTTCATTCACAGGAATTACTTGACTTGATCCCATGAATGTTTCTCTGTTTAACAGTGTGATTTCATATGATGTAAATGCCTTGTGAGTTCAGTAACTATCCCAATATGGACAACATTTTTTTTTCTTATTGCTATTGAACAGCTCAACATTGGATTTTTGGGGTGGTCAATGCTGAGGGGGTCCAGGTTCAAATCCGTCCTGAAGTCACTTTAATCATCCCGTCTGTCTCTCCCTTTCAAATCTATCTCTCCAATACCGTGGTGATGGAATGAGTCCTCCTAACACCCGGATATCGGTTAGCCTGGAAGAAAGTGGTTAATATCATTTTAAGAGATTTTCCAATTTTGTGGACGTCCAAAGCTTCCACATGTCATCAAAATGGCGAACGTTAGCTGCACTTAGCTTGCGGTGGTTGCAAGCCGCCATGCAGGGTGATGTAGTTCCTTTGTAGGCTAACGTTAGGCTAACAAAAGGAACGTATCATTAGCTTTTTACTTCTGAACAACAAATAACAAATCATTAAAGTTGTGTCAATAGGTGGAGCGGTTATCCTGCTGAACAAAACATGTAAATATCATAAACGTGATTATTTTCTCCAATATTTGGAAATCCAATTAAAAAATCCCATTGGCTCTTTGTTGAGGGAGCCCTTTAGATGCTTACTTCAGGGTCAATTTACAAAAATACGTCATCACTGCACAGCTATATAAGGCTAAGACTGGCCCATTACATATAAACATATTTTAACATGATCAGTTGGGTCTTGAAATCAGTTAGTTTAGCAGCCCTTTATCATTTGGAGACGACAGAACGTGTCTTTAAGGGTTGAACATGCGTTCTGTTTGTTTGTGTCTTTATGAATGAGAGCCAGATGACAAAAAGGTCTATTCATGTTTAGTTTCATGCTACATTTTTCAAATGATTATGTGCAACCCAACCCCCACACATATCTGTCAGGGGGATAACATGTGTAAGAGTAAAGCAGTATGGAGTCAGGGCAGGGGACTTTATCACCATAGAGCAGGGGGGCTACAGAGACGCAGAGTAGGGGGCTCCATCATAGTAGACACATAAAACACAGGGCTACATCACCGTAAAGCAGAAGGCTGCATCACCGTATAACGGGAGGGGGGGCACATCACCGTAGAACAGGGGGGCTCGGCCGTTGTTGTGAATGAGGGCCAGCATGACGTCAGCAAGACAATGTCAACAATGCAGCTCCTAGAGGAGGAAAGGCGTTTCATCCTCACACACTCACGGGAGACCCTTCTACACACCGACTGATGCCTACGGTGCTTTAAATTCAGCGGTTTGGGCTGTCGGAGGGCTGCGGGGACACAACAATGTGGACTTATTTCTGAGGAGCTGAACGCAGACGAGCAGGGAAAACGGGTAAGTCGCTGCCAGCATAATAAGCAACCATTGAGCTTTACTACGGCTGAGTGGAGCAGACTACGGGAGCCCCTTGTCAGCCTCGGATTTGCTACTACTAATCTGTCTGCTCGCGCTGGCGTCCCTCTCTTGTTTGTGTTGTAGTAACGCTGTTGTTTAGCGCTCGGTGTAAGCACGGTGTTTGTTGTTGCAGTGAGTACCTGACACCTCGGTGCTTTTCCCGTAGGTTAGCAGGGATGCTGCGGGTTTAAGCTAGGTGCCTGAGTGTGTTTCCCACAGAAACGTGTTCCTCCTCGCCTGGGTGTTACGTCGGGAAAGTAGAGCCCGAACAAAGTGCTTTGTGTCTTTGGAGGGGTTTCGCATGGCCGTTATTTCCCCACCACGTTTGAAATTCATTACCAGTCGTATAGCTCAGTTGGTAGAGCATATCCCCGGGTTTGGCTCCGTACTGATGATCGGTGTACGAATCCCGCCCGGGACCAGTTACCGTGTGTCGTCACCTCTGCCTTCACTGTCATTTAACTAATGGGATCGTATTACCCGAATAAATCATAAAAAAAAAAAAAAAATGTTTCTCAGAAACAATATTGATAGTATCCGCTCTTATGGTGCCATGTGACAGAGAGCAGCCGTGTGTGTCATTATGACGGACCTGTTTGTTCTAGAAATAACTTGCCGGTCTTTATAAACGTCCCTTTGTCCTTCTTGAACTATCCACATTGCACTTCTGAAATAAATCCCAATACATTGAACATAAAAAGGGGCACATGTTTTGCACGGGAGAGCCCCAGCAGGGGTTCGCGCTGCTGTCATGCTGGGGGAGGAAGGGGCTGCAGAGGGACAAAGGACCCAGCCTCCCACCCCCTTATTCCCGCCCTCTGCCGCTGAACGGCCGCTTCAGTAAACAGCCTCCTCGGGATAAAGCTTCGGATAAACAGGAATTCCTGTATGGAATATATTTGAATATGTCTACAATGAGAATCTCAAAACCGGCAGTACCTTTGCCCTTCACCTAGAGGAAAATTCGAAACCTCAAATGTATAAGAAATGAATAACAGAGGTCTTGTTTTCCTTGTATATTATATGTATTAGGCCTACTTATAAACATGTTGGTATTCAATGAACACTCAACCGTTGACTCAGTTAAGATGATATATGGAGTGAGTGCCGTGGTAAACATGCCTCAGTAGTGAGCAGATTAGCTCTTTGTCATCCTTCCTTCAAAGCTCTCTGCCTCTTCCATCCTCCTCCTCTGTGCTACCGGGGAACAGCAGCATCACTGTATAAGTACTGGGGTGTTTTGGGGGGTTACATACAGTTCAGCTGCTGAATGGAGCAGATGAGAGGTGACTGAGGCCAATAAAATATGTACTACTCCACTTCCACTCAGTTATGTTCAGCAGAGAGTGATATCTCTCTCCTGCTCTGATGTAGATTGCCTGCTGATTAGCCCAGTTATAATCCTAGCATGGAGATCCTTCACTGTAAATACAGGAGTATTAAAGGGACACTCAGCAATATCACTCATAGTGCCCAGTTTACTCCAACAGTGTAATGTAACGTGTTCTGTGGAGCTTCGGCAAGTAAATAAATAATTATAATAACACAAAATACGTCATCAGTGTTATCCAAGCTTCCGACCGCAAATTCATAACAGAGAATGCACAACCGGGGGTGACACATTCACATTGCTGGGACAAAAACACAAACGATGTTATTGTGGTGCATTATGGGAGGCATATGAAACAGCATTTTGGAACCATACAAAGGACTAATTTCTTTGTCTTGTCTTAAGCCATTGCTTCTGCTGCAAAATAGAACACCTCAACAGCACTCTTGATACTGCCACTGGATGACACCAAAGTAAGAAAAAATAAATAACATGATGGTTTTAATTTGATAAGTCATCATGCATTATTAATAATGATAAGGATTAATAATTTGTGTGTGTTTGGATGTGGATTTAGCATGATTGCCCTAAGTTTTTCCCTTTTAAGGTGCAAGACTGAAATTTAAAGATGCAAGTTGGAGTTCCGAGTCACCTGCTCCGAAGGCGCTGCACCTGAAATAGGAGTCAGTATTTCACCTCTGGATCAATACAATTTCAATTTAGAGTCATCTTTTATTTTAAAAAATCATACGTTAACCTTTGTTTTTATTTAAAGGTGAAGTAGTTTGGCATATATTGTTGATTAAAATGGTACAGTGTTGACGTATCTTTGTCGGATGACAAAGTTAGAATCGCAAGGACTCCCTCAACAAAAAGCTATGGGATTTTTCCATTGAATTTTGGAATATGACAGAAAATAAGATATTTGGCAAACACATTTATGATACTTACATGTTTTGTTAAGGATGTGATAATCTCCACATAAGAATGCCACTTCTAGACGTCAAAATGTTGGGCTATATAAAAACTACATCACGGTCACATGACTTCACTTCACAACTGCTAAGCTAAAGGTGGCTAATGTTTGGTGTGATGATGTTTAGTTGCCTCATTAGGTCACTCGTAGCAACCATTTTTATGACAGATTGAAGCGTTGCTAATTCATGAGTAGGTTATATTAACTATATTTTATGTTGTAGAGAAAACAACAACATCTCTTTGTTAACCACAGACCAGACCAGACGGCTGAACAAATAAGTTGAAGAAAAACATTGCATTCAAACGGAACCATAAGTGAAAAAATGCTGATAAATGTTTCATTTTTTAGGAGTCAATCCTGCAACTCTCAATTCTAATGAATTCTTTACATTGTGTATTGCATTGTATTATAATCTGCAGGATGTTATCTTTAGACCAAATTCAAACACTATGTGATCTATACATTTGGCAATCAGCTGATATACATTTTTAAGAGCTGTTCCTGTTCAGAGACACCCCAATCCTTAGAAATTATACCTAAAGTGGAATTTGTGCCACGTGGTTGAAGGTGACAGACTGTGGCGTTATTAAGGATCCTCCTCAGGGGACCCTGAATATCTGTACCAATTGTCATGGCAACTGGCCAGTAGTTGTTGAAATATCTTTTTCCTGATAAGAAGAGTCGGATGGACTGTGGTGCAGGGTGGACGGTGTTCACATATACAGTAGCAACCAGGAAATACATTTTACTCAAAGAATTTACTCATATATGTATGCACTAATTGATCTCATTCAGAGTGTGTTTGAAGTCCTGCCTACAGCTTTGCTGAATGAAGGACAGAAATGTGTGTTCAGTGGTGTGTGTGGAGGCGTTCAGTCCCAAAATTACTGCTTTCAACCTGCTCTTCTCTTGGAGCTCATGTAGAGGTAACCAGCTTTAACTCTAATGAATCAAGAGTGGCCTGTTGGTGAACTGGCTCATTAAAGGATTAGAACACACCCAAACACACCAGAGTCGCCTGTCTGCTGCTCGATACTGGGGCTGTCTCAACCCCTATGGTTATAACTCAATTAGAATTGAGGGGAAAACTTTGTTTAACGTGTTTGTTTTAATTTTTAACAAATTAATTACATTCAAAATACGAGGGTACAAAAATGACGGAATACTAACATTAATTGATAGTGAGATTTTAAAGTCGCTGGACCATATGCATAATATTATCATATGGGTATTACTGATATCAATAATGCATTTCAATGTCAAGGTTAATGCAAAACCCCCACCTTGATACCATCACTGGATGCTGGACTTGCTGAGCAACAGCACATTAGTATTGTCCAATATGGCTTATGTTTATTGATTCATCAATATTTTTTCAGTATATAGCACAAGGTGTCGGAAAGTATGGAAAAATGTCAATCAATGTTTACCATAGCTCTGAGTGACGTCTTACGGTCCAAAACTGAAGATATTCAGTTAATTGTGATATAAAACAGATCAAAACGCACAATATCACTTTTTTTGATAAAGCCTTAAACTGTGGATTAATGATCCATTGTTGATCATCAATGTACTAGTATCCTAATTGATTACTTAAGGGATCATTTGAGTACTAGCTAGACTTAAGATTCAGATGTAAGTAGCAGTAGTCATAAATAAAAATAAAAATGTGTGGAGCCATACTTCAGGTGAAGCACCATGTTGATACAGCTGTGTTAAAATGTCCATGACGTTGAATCAAGTACTTTTTTTGGTTATTCATTCCAACAAAAACAACCTGATCTTTTAAAAAATGGTCTACATTTTACCCCTAGCAAACATGATCAACATGCCACACATTCTAAGAAATCAGCTTTAGGATTCCACATTTCCGCAGGGAGTCACGAATCATCAGGACTTTGAACCACTTAGCTGTGGTGACATGAAGTCAGTTATGGTCTAAAGTTAACTTTTGACTTCTGACCAAAATATTTACTCACAATTGTGGTGGTGTCAATATGTGGAGATTATCCTGCTGAACAAAACATGTAAATATCCAAACGTTTGTTTAACACAGAGCTTTTTTGTTGTTGTTGTTGCAATATTCCAAAATCCAATGAAAACATCCCATGTGCCAACCACTGTGTAAAGTTACATTATCTGTCTGAATGTGTTGGTTAAATTTACAGTCATTTGAAATTGTGAATCAGCCATACCTCGCTACAGATGTTAAATAGAAAGCAAAATAGACGTACGCGTCCAAAATGAAATTGTATGCAACGTGTGTGAAGCAGAAATCCTGCAGCTCCACCCGCTGTGACGGACTGGTGAGCGGAGCGAAACACACACTAATTGCGCATTTCCACTACAGCGCAGCGATGTTTAAGCTTGCCGTGCATGGCCCGTTTTTGGTTGCGTTTCCACTTGGCGTAGTACTGGCTAGGGGGTACTATTTCACAGTTTGCACATTTCACTGGCCCCATAAAATCGAGGTTCTTAGCGGGCCAACAACCAGGCTGAGTCACGGCCCCTACACACGGCGGCGTGCGTTGCCGCTTCAACGCTTCTGCCCATTCACTTTGCATGG